GATACATATAGAGTTAGCTGAAGTTAAAATACCTAATCTCAGAAATGGAACAGTGAAAAATGTCGAGCTGACAACTTGCAATTTGACACACATGTTATGCAGAGGTGAACGTTTCAGAATATTTGTACGTGGTGTTAGCAGATAAAAAGGATTTACCACTCTAGAGGTTGGTCTAGGTACACTGAAATTCAGTTTTTGCAAAATACGTGGGTCAATAATTAAATTATTAATCGGTTTAAAAATAAAAATTGTGGAGTGACAATCACGACGGCAACTCAAGCTATTCATGACATATCTAGCTAACAATGCATCATGGGGAAATCCAATTGGTAGTCTTAGGAAACGACTTTGTGCTAATTCAACTTTCTCTGTATACAACTGATGAGATGGAGTCCAGATTATGGATGCATATTCTGAATTTGATCTGACGATAGCATAGTATAAGGTTTTCGATGTAGATGCACCCGCGAAATGTCTGGAGATTCGTGCAATAAACCCATACATTCTGTTTGCAGCAGACAGAATGAATTCAATGTGTCGTGCAAAGGAAAGTTTTGTGTCGAAGGTAACACCTAGATCGGTGAATGTGAGAGGCCGTTGTAGTGGAATATCGTTTATTAAATATTGATAGAAGAATGGACGATTTTTTAGTGTGTACGTCATTACATAACATTTACTCGCGATAAAGAAAGATTATTGCGAAAACACCATTGCCCAACACGTTTCAGATTGACAGAGAGTTGAAGACAGTCCTCGATGCCATTGATCTCACAATATAATTTCAGGTAATCCGCGTATATCAAACAGTTGATGTCAATGACCGCAACTATGTTGTTCATGAAGGCGTTAAAAAGAAGTGGACCTAGATTGCTTCCTTGTGGAACACCTGAGATAGCTGCATATGCCACAGACTTGAAGCCATCGAATATAACATACACTTCCATCCAGATATTTTTTGAGTACAAAACACAAGTACTACAGAAAAAACCTTATGGCGCTCTAAGAGCGGTGCCTGTGCGAAAGAAGCGATTCACGTTGGATTTGAATCGCTGGAGATCAAACTCATTTGGAAAACGTTCTCAGGCAGTTGTCCAAATGGAAGAGTTCTTAAAGAGTTTTTCCAATCAGTCGGATGGCTGTTTTCTGGATGGAATCCAGCAGCTTCGGGGTATACTTAAGGGCGGATATCCATACATGTCGGTAGCCAGGTGGTTCGACTTGGGTAATCTGTTTACTCACTCGAATTGACTGCCGTGTTGGTCGGTGGTTCATGCCCTAGTCTGAACGATCGATTTACACTTGCTATCGAACAACCGTGTAAGGAGTCACACGTTAAAAGGTAAAAGCTGGTTGATTCTTAGCTCGCACAAGTATCGACTTCTGAGGGTTGTCGTTCGTAAACAGATTTTTTGATAGATCTTGTGTTTACAATAACTTTCATATTTGTATAATTTCCTGGACCCGGATGTCACGCAGGTAGGTATAGCTGCTTCCGTGATGATTTTGATAGTTTTCTTGTAAACACAAGATCTATCAACTGAAACCACAAATGTGCGGCTCCGTGCATTTGTATTTCTATCTTTTGGTAACCAAGTGTTGCCCATCCTTACACTTGGCTGCACCATACTGATGATGTGCCTAAAGCCCGAAACACGTGTCTATGATTTGCCAGTATTAACTTTTCTATTCAAGACACTCAATAACTTTCATATTTGTATATATATCGGTGCAGCCAATTGCAAAGGTGGACAACAACTGGTTACCAAACATGAAAAAAAAAACATCACATATTGTTGAATATTAAAGTCTCCTGCACAAGATCGGTATAGACTTTGATGTTAAATTTTATGATATAATTATTCAATTTTCAATCTGGTTTATGGTTAATAGTTACTCGTTCCTTGATTGTATTAGTGTTCTTTGTAGTCGAAACAATCCTGTAGAAAATTCCACTAAACCTACCCGACTTACAATGCTTAATTTTGTGTCTATTGAAATTCTTAAAAGTTACTATTATGCATATGTTTACTCTGCCCTCATTTATAATGTATTATTTGTTTTGGCAACTGCAATAGAATCAGTGTCTTATTAATTTTCCAGAAAAAAATTATTAGAACAATTTGTTTTAAAAAACCATTCGATTCCTGTAAACCACTATTTGCAAAGTTGAATATATCAACTGTTACTTGCATGTATATGCGTAATCTACGTTAAATCAAATTGCTCCAAGTTTCAGAACAGAGATGATACATGTCTTCTTTCGGGCTTCACCTTGAGAAAAAACTATTTTAATTCTTAGTCATAAGTTAGCCAAGGTAACTAATGGACCTCATTACAGGTCAATAAAACTGTACAACAAGCTCCCAATATCCATTAAAAAAATAACTAGTGTAAAGCTCTTCAAACAAAAAGTTCGGAAACTATTATGTGAAAAGGTATTTTATTCGCTTGATGAATTTTTTCAGTCTGATTTGGAATTCTAAATTTCAATTTTTGTATCCCTTTTATGGTCTAAATGTTATATAATATGTCTTATAATTATGTTGTTTTATGATTGTGACCTCATTGTAATTGTACTGAGTTATGTGACTTTTTCCATGCCTTCCCTAGGTCTACGGAAATAAAGATTTTTTGATTTGATTTTGAATGAAAACATATTCACATTGCGAAACTGTTGTTTATTTTCTTTGCCCCCCTGTATCTAGTATGATGAACGAATTCTGGGTGGTCTGAAAACCGATGTTTAACGACTCCGCGTGAGTATAAAACTAACTTCATGAAAATAATAAAATTTGTGAACAGAATACAGATGAAGCCTTTGACTGTGTTCCCTTTTTCGGACAATGTAATCTAGCAGTTGATATACGTTAGTGTTCGAGTTTGGAAAACTAGAGCTAACTATTGCGAAACTTCGTGGAACGTTATGAAGTTTGAACGGATGGCTTTCATTTTCCAACAGCGCGATGTTATTACGACCGTAAAGTGAATTAACTGGACGTGGAAAACATGTAGATGTCACTTGGTCTTTGGCTTGCGATGGAACAGTAGCGGATCTAGGTTGCTAAAAACTCAGGATTGGTATTTCATAATGGGTGCCCTATTCTTTACCAAAATACGGTTAACCGACATATTGTCCTGTATCCAAGCATGAAGGTGATTGTGAGATGAAGATCATCTCTAAAAAGGGTCTTGTGTTTATTATGTTCAGTTGCTAATATTTTTGTGGCATTGAAGTCCATAAAATGACCTTCTTCATTTACGTGATTACTCAAAGCAGATTTTTCTGGTCTTATTCTACAATCACTCCAATCACTCCAAAAAATATTCTCTAAGGTTTCAATTTAAGAGCCACCGGTAGGCAGCTGTTTCAGCCTATTGGGCATCGTCAGTACCGGGCAGGCGGTCCTCGATTGAAGACAAAATGGGAAAACCCAAGAAAGTACTTGATAAAAATAATCAACTTGGCAAGTTGACTTGGGTGTCACACCAATAGGTGGTTCTACTTATGTTTCGCTTGCGTTTACACAGGATAAGAACCCTCTATTCTGAAAATTAGAAATTTACAAAACTTACTTTGAACTCTTTCAATGGCTATGTTATGAATCTCATAGAATGAACTCCAGACAATACTTGCATATTAAATCTTCGAACGTACGTAGGTGAAATACAACAGCTTCATAGCTTCAATATTATGAAAGTTTCTGCAATTTCTAAAAATAAAACCATAGGCACTCAAAGATTCTGAAACTTTTTGTGGAATATGTCTACCAAATGTTAATTTATGATCGAATATTACCCCTAGGTCTTTGATCTCATTACATCTCAGCAGATCTGAATCCTGTATTACATACGGAAATGTATAAACCATTTTTTTTTCGACTATAACTCATTACTTTACATTTCTCCACATCGAGTTTCAATTCATTACTGGTGCAGGAAGCAACAAGAAATTCCAATTGAGATAGAACATTTACACAAGCACCTACTTCTTCAATTATAGAAAATAATTTCAAGTCATCCGCGAAGCATAACCGCTCACAAGCTAAACTTTCACATAAGTCGTTAATAAACCATAAAAACAAAAGAGGGTCTAAGTTGGAGCCCTGAGGTACACCAGAAGAGGCTATATATGTTCCCGATTTATAACCGTTATAGGACACGAATTGTTTTCTACATGTCAGATAGGATTACATCAGCTGACAGGCAGTATTCGAAAAACCGAAACCCATTAGTTTATTGAGCAAAGACACCATGATCATGAACATAATAAAAAATTATAACGTCCTCAATATCTGAAAATTCTAAACATCTAGGAAATGGTCCGTTAAAACAAAAAAGCACTTATTATTAACACTGAATACATACACACTACATTCATAAGTAGCTTTAATATATATTTTCAATGCGTCGCTGATATCTAGTATCGGGAAATTAACTCCTGTATTAAATCTAAGTCTTCATTTTGTCCAATCCATTAGCTTGTGCACCATTGATATTTTCTCATTCGAAATTTGTACTACTGATCGGGCTACTCATACTGATGCTGATACAGCAAGTAGAAATGTCTCCATTGTGAACAATGTACCATTCGGAAGAAGATTCGTTCTTTTATTTTTTTTCTCTCTATATCTTGGAGCATCTTTATCTCTTATCTTTTTCTCATTTCTTTCCTTTTTGTGTTCCTTTCCTTTCAAAATGTTCATTCAATATTTTTTCAATCATTTTGACTTCAAATCTGTCTTCTTAATCCTCATCCAAGAATGAAGACATTCCGTGATGCCTCTTCATGATTGGTCAATTGTTAACACTTGTACCATTGTAGCTACTGCAGTTCGTCTTATTCAGCAACTTATCTCACCCCTCTCTTGAACGTTAGTCAAACTTTTCATTCGCTACCATAGTTTTTTCAAGGTCTCTTCGCCATAACTTCTCGGATATTCCGCAGTCACAAAATTATTGCAATTATTTCGGCTAAGCTAATCGAAATGTATATTTTTCAGGTTGGATTTGCCCTTTCCTCGTGCGACAAACTCACCAATGGCCACAAGGACCTATTCGCGCCTTGTGTCCAAGCCGTCAAAGAAAGCCTGGCTGGGGAACCGTTCAAGGAGTTCACCAAGTCGCTGTACTTCCACCGATACCTGCAGTGGAAGTGGCTTGAGGCGCAACCGGTCACGTACAAAACCTTCAGGATGTACAGGGTGTTAGGCAAAGGAGGGTTCGGAGAGGTGTGCGCGTGTCAGGTGAGTTTTTACTATACGAGTATAACCGTAGAAGGATTAGATTGATTGGGGAGCTGGCATGCGACCTGTTCCACGACGACCTATGTAGATCCATTATGATGCTCCTTGGTCATCAGAACTTTTCATCTACCTTGATCTCTTCAACGAGACTCCAGAGCCTTGATATTGGCTCATATAGATTCATATAGTTCAAAGCTTCCGGCTCCCCATTCCCACAAGAGAATTCAAAAAAACAGTAGATCTAGGTCCAACAGAACAAATAGTCTAATTATATCGGTAGAACTGCTTTTGAGGAGTATTGTAAAAAAAGTTGTTTTACCGGTTTCTTTTTTTCAAGGCACATTTAGGAAAAAAGAATCGTCAGGAGATGATGGTAACTTGTAATTTGTCTTCCACATCCAATTTGCTTTTTTTCATTCGCTCCATATAATTTCGAAAGCTCGTAAACAGATACGAATACACGTGGGGGTTCTCTTTTTCATTCGAATCCCGATAACTACCGGTAATGAAGAGCTTGTGTAACAACTGATGATGATTACTCCGCCAGCTGTATGGCGTCCTCAATCAAACGCAAATTAATTAGTTAGGTGTTCAGGGCAGATGAACACAGTTGCTATATTATTCAAACATTTCAGAGGTATGGTCGACCTCGGAAGAATTCGATAAATAATTTTCCATATCGTGTGTATAATGGTTCAGGTGGTTTTAACCGAGTAGGCGTTTTCCAAAATAGTGACGACAGATAAAGTAATAAAGTTCTTATGTTTTCATCAATATCTCACGGTATATTCATATTCAATCAGAATATGCATTCTCTATTCATAATTATAATTTATTTTGCCGTATAGTTTTTCTCATGGACCATTTATAGATATTTCACTATGCAGAATTTTGAAATAGTAATGCCACCATATCAAGAAATTGCAATGAAAGCATTCTGCTTCACTACCAAACTTGTTTAATAGTGTTTTGTTATCGTGAAATAGTTGCTTATTGTTGACGACCATTTTGTCATAGAATTTGAATTATGGTTAACTCAGTTTAATTCAGTTCGATAATAACATTGTAGGAACGTTTTCTTATATAAGAATAAACCGAAGAAGTTCTCAAATTGAGAAATATCAATTTTACTGTCTCCAGTCTCCTATTTGTAGCAATACTGCTCTGTGCACTCTTCGTATCTTCTTTGTTTACCATCGGTTCATTGCCTCTCCTAACTGTTTTTAATGTTCACTGCTCAATTCATTATTTGCCACACAATTCATTATTCCTTGTTCTTTTATCTGTTTTTTGTTCTGGCTGTAGTGACATTTTTCAAATGAATATGTCACAATGAGAATATTGAACCATTCGAAATATACTCGTATTTTCCACGAATCATGGTTCCTAATTGTCACAATGGACCTTAATGGCATTATTGAACCATTAAGCTTTTGTATTGTATGCGCCCCAAACAGTAATTGCTATCCCATGGGTCATTCAATTAGTGAAAAGTTTCTCATCTAACGACAATATCGGAATGTAATTCCTCTGGAATCGGAAAATTTTAGTTTGTACAAAAGTACTCCGCGATTTACGCAATTAAAGACCTTTGTTAGATCACAAAATACTGCCGCGGCTGCTATGTTCATTGTTTTACTTCTTGTCCTGTTGTCTACATTTATTTTAATATATTCGCCCTTCACTTTCATGCTCTGTTCACTGACCCTTTCCGCTTTCTTAATTTTATTCTTTTTATTGTTTGCTGCTTGCTCTGTTAATTTTTCTCGGCATGTCCACTGTTCCTTGATCTTTTACCTGATTCTCCTTGTCCACTAATCTGTCTGTTATCCTCTATTATCTTCATTGTTCTTTGCTTCCCTGTTCTGTTCACTGACGTATTCCGCCCTCTTCATTTAACACTGTTCATTATTTTAATCTCTGTCCATTGTTTCTCACTTAATTTTCGGTCTTCTGCTCTGTATATTGATATCTGCTCAATTCGTTTCTTCTCATGTCTGCTGCTTCCTGCTCCGTCAATTGTTTTACTTCCTGTCCTGCTGTCTACATTTATCTTAATATGTTCACTTTCATGCTCTGTTCACTGACGCTTCCCGCTCTCTCAATTTTACCCTGTTCATTATTTACTGCTTGCTCTGTTAATTTTTCCCGGTGTGTCTACTGTTCCTTGATCTTTTGTCTGATTTCCCTTGTCCACTAACCTGTCTGTTGTTCTTTATTATCTTCATTATTTTTTACTTCCCTGCTCTGTTCACTAACGTATTCCGCCCTCTTCATTCGACACTGTTCATTATTTTCATCTCTGCCCATTGTTTTACTTAATTTTGTGTCTCCTGCTCTGTATATTAATATCTGCTCAATACGTTTCTTATATTTTCTGCTTCCTGCTCTTTCAACTGTTTTACTTCCTGTCATTCTATTGTATACACTTTCATGCTCTGTTCACCTTCCCGCTCTCTTAATTTTACCATGTTCATTGTTTACTGCTTGCTCTGTTAATTTTTCTCGGTGTGTCTACTCTTCCTTGATCTTTTGCCTGATTTTCCTTGTCCACTAATTTGTCCTCTATCATCTTCATTGTTCTTTGCTTCCCTGTCCATTGTTTCTTGCTAAATTTTTTGTCTCCTGCTTCGTATATTGATATTTGCTCGATTCGTTTCTTTTTGTATTCACTGCTTCCTGCTCTGTTAATTGTTTTACTTTCTGTCCTTTTATCTTGATATGTTCACTGTTCCCTGGTCTTTTCCCTATCCACTGATGTATACATTGTTATTACTCTCTACTATGTTATTTTTTCTATGCTCCCACTTTCCATTTTCCCTATCCTGTTCATTCACATGGTTCCAGTCTCTTGATTTCACACTGGCTGTTTTCTGCTTCATTCGTTGTTTATTCTTTCGTTTTATGGTCTCCTGCTTTGTTTATTCTTCTCCGCTCGGTTCATTTTTTCGGGCTACGATTCCTACTTTCCGTTCTGTCCATTGTTTGATTTTCCGATATTTTCACAGCACTCTCTGTGTGAATCCAATTATTATTTATATTCTTTTGTTCCAAAGCTAATAACCGTATGTTACAACCAATACTGCGGTTGTGCCGCCCGCCTACATCCATGACTATAGATCCACGTGCCTCTGTGAATTGTGATTTGCCCTATACGTTATCCCCGTGGGTTAAACTCAATTAAAATGTTGTTGCTACACGCCAGGCTCCCAACATTGTTATATATACAAGACATCTACATAATGTGAATCGCCCAGAGAATAAAGATATTGATAATAACGAATGTCACGCTTTATCGGCAGAACTAGAGGCGATCGGACGGACGTTGTTTCGATGTCTATATCGACACTTATGGGTGATCTCATATTGGATAATAACGATTTTTTTTCATTTTGGTAGTTCAAATGAACCTGTTCGATTCTTTTGAATTTTTCCCATGTCTACACTCTTACCTTCTTCAATAATTGATATCTATATTTCTTGATGCTTGTATTGTTCGCTTGAACTTGTTTTGTTGGTTACACTACTCTCTCCATTGTTCCCTTCTTTGTTCTTTGCTTTGTTCACTGTTTTCCTGTCAGTTCATTATTCTCTTCACGATATTCTCTTTTCAATGTCAACTGTTCCTTGCTCCTTCCTCTTCTTTGCTTTGTTCTCTGTTGAGCAGCTCACTTTAATCTAGTTTGTCCATTGCTCTCTAGTTGGTTCTCCGTTCCCTTCACTATTCCCTCCTCTGTTCTTTGTTTAGTGACGCTTGTTTTATTCTCTGTACTTTGCTTTAATGACTTTTCTTAGTTCTGTTACACGTACTCTGCTATGTTCACTGTTCCCTGATCTCTTTATTGTTCATCATGTTCACTGTTCCTTGCTTTGCTTCCTCTCTTTTGCTTTGTTCTCTGCTTCACCCACTTTTTTCTAGTCTGTCCATTGCTCTTTAGTTAGTTCTTCATTTCCTCCACTATCTTCTCCTTTGTTCTTCGTTCACTGAGCCTTGCTTCATTCACTGTCCTTTGCTCAATTCACTGTTTATTGTTATTGCTGGTGTTTATGGTGCTTCATTTCCCTGAAATCAAATATGGACGATTAAATTTGCCCTTTTTACTGTTTTCAGCTCAGTTTTCTGTTCTCTCCCCTTTTTAATCCCCTTCATCATTCCTAACTCTGTTCATTTTGTTTATCAGTTCACTACTTCCTATTATTCTAGAATTTTTGCATCATGCATAGTGCACGCGATCTCCCAGACAAGGCTGCTTGTACAGAGTCTCACTAACGAACGACACAAATTCTATTATTTTTTTTAAGAATACACGGCCGGGTATAGAAAAAATTTTTAGGTGTGGAGTGTAAGGACACAAATCAGCAGTTTCTTTAGCCGTATCAGTACTTGACATTTAAAAAATTTGGATATGGAAGCACTTCTGAAGCCATTGTGCTAGCGAAACGTCAGGAAGAGAATCCGCATTACGACGGTCCTCAAACCATCCTCCTCAAAATAAGAGCGAGGCACCGATAAGTGTTTTGTGACCTCTCAAAAGCGGTTGACTGTGTAAATCATTCAATTCTTCGCGTAAATTAAAAATATATGTGGTTTTAGGGATGTATATCTGAGATTGTTGCGATCATATTTGAAATATCGTATCCAAGTGAATAGTGAGACTTCCAGATCCCATTCAGTCTTTTATGGGGTTGTTCAGGGTTGTGTTCTCGGCCCACTGTAGTACCTAAATGACTTGGCTCTCATTGATATCAAAGGGAAATTTATTATGTTTGCTGATGACATCACAGTAGTTTGGAATTCAAAAAATAATGTAATCATATTTATGCCGATTTAAATTGAGTTAAAAGGTGATGCGTATAGGCTTCCTTTCAATGCTATAGTCTTCTATTTTATAGTGCTGAAATTGTCACTATAGCTAAGTACAATACAAGACGTGATAACTACGTATCATACAGATTTTCCGATACCAAAAACCACATATTCGATCCATATCTAGTAATGG